GAAAGAAGAAAGTGGTTCCATTCCCTTTTTTTTTTTTTGCTTTTCTTTTCTCTGGTTACTTGTCACTGTTCTTTACAAGCTACTGGTGCTTCCTTTTCTTTTGTTATGTTTACAACTTTAATAGATAAGAAAAACAGCGGGTATGATAGGAGACAACTTGACTTACAAATATCTTTCATTAACTAGACAATTAACAAAAGAAAAGCCAAAATAACAAAGGAATTGAACCACTTTCTTCTTCTAAAGTTCCAAGATATTCAAATGAGTAATTACTTTCTTTATATTTTGATAATTTATGATTGCAAAAAAATTTAGTATTTGGAATTTTTTACATTGATAAAGTAATTTGGTGTTTGTAGAAAAATAACCAAAGAATATTTTGGAAAAAAAATTATCAATTTTGAAACTATCAATTTGAAGTTGCTCAAAAAGAAAAAATTTTGTACATATCCTTTTGTATTTATACCTTTTGTATACTCAGTATTATATATATAAAAAAAACAAATTTCATAATTATTGTATATAAACACCTTTTGCTGAAAAAGTCTCCTTTCACTCATATATATAAATCTTGAATCCGTCCATAATCTTATTGGTGATGCCCCTCATGCATCAAGCAAGTTAGAAAGTAGCTTACGAACAAGTTAAACTATAAGCAATGAAAAATAAAATAAAAGGAGAAGGAATTTACTTTCTTGGACGAATATGGTCTACCCAGTGCACAATTCCATCATCTGCACCATTTAGTTTGTGAATATCAAGAAGAAAACAAAACTGCCTCTTAAATTCAAAAATTAAGCGTCTTTCTTGTTCTCTGTATGCATCAATTGTGTTAGCCAACATTACTGCAGTAACTTTCCAAGGAAGCCTGTGAGAAAGCAATAGCAGTGGTGAATATTCTGCCATAGTGTGCTTCAGTTTAAAATTTCACTCCACAACATAGTAACATAATTGCTTGAAAGTTTTTATCTCAACCAGAAGATATATGATGAAAACAGCACATACCCTAAACACAGGGCAGCAAGGCCTAAACCGACAGCAGTTGTCCCAGTACCAGAATCCACAACAAAGTTGAAAGCCCTCGTTCTTCCAAGTAAATGGTCCTGAGATAGGTAGTCAACCAAACGAAATAGACCTATAAGAAGGAAACTTAATTAATTGAAGCTAACTAGATGTCAACGTTACACCTACTCAGTTATGTAATAACAACTTATAACCTGCAATTAATAAATTAGTGGCATACAAAGGGATTGAAAATTTATAAATGCTAGTATATTAATAAGGAAATAAATCAGCGAAGCATGGTAGACAAGAACCCTACGTTTTTTTAGGAATATGTCATTTCATAGAAATCATAACCTGAAAGCAGTGAGACCAAGGAGACAGTTAAAAACTTAAAATCTAAAGACACATATTCTCTAGCGGAAGGCCTTGGCCATCTGTCATGAGTTATTGCTATCAACCTGATCACAGTCAAGAATAATATTTATGTGTAGTACCAAAATAGCATCCTTGAAGATAAGCAATTATTATTAGTGCAAGATTGACATCGTATAGTTAGTTTCACAACCTGTCTTTGTGATGACTTGGCAACATTGAATGTTAAAAGAGAATGCAGATATATTTGTGAAAAAAGAAAATGATGATTAGAAGCAAATCCATAGTCCACATTTTTTCTTTTACCTAGCAATGCAACAGCATCTCCTGCGCCTTCATTGACTACAAGAACCTTTGTTGAGTGGCTCTTGGTGCCTCTAGGAGCATCCATTTGCACAAACTTTGAACGCTCAAATGTCTGGGCTGTTATAAACGCATCAATAATATCATTGCAATATACAACATTACCACTACTGCCTGCAACCATACTAGCATGAGTTTCTAGCATTTTTTCCCTATGGGCATAAAAGGATCTGGGAACATATGTTACATTTCCATATATTGTTGAAATCAAGTTATAGCCAGTCAGAATTGCAGGCTGCTCCCCTCGTAGAAGCAAGTGTGACTTCAGCCCTCTCTCTGCACAAGAAACAGCTGCAAAACATGCAAATGACTGATCTGAAGCAAAGTTTATGTGGCTAATATTACCAAAACTTATTATGAATTCTGGAAAAGGAAATTTCAAAGAAATTTACTCTTGTAACTGCAAAGAAAATACCTACCAACAGCTGCTGCATGTGCACTTTGACAACCGCCACATGTAACCTAGAAAAGTTCCCAATTTAAAATTATCTGGTCTTTGAAGTTTGCAGAACTGAAAAGAGGAAAGGTTGGGAGGAGTGGTTGCATATAAGAGATGCAGTGCACTGGAATCCATCTGAAAATTGTATGTGCACTAGGACATCTATCTATTCCATAAAATTTTAAGAAAGTACAACCTATTCCTGTTCAAGCCATCCAACAAATGGTATATCCAGCAAATAGACCACTGTTACTCCTTATCCTAATGAGCCCTTAAATGAATATGGGTAAGCATCCCATAAGCATATAATGTCTTCCAAAATAGAAGGGTTGCCAGACCTGTCATTGTCCTACCCAGATGCACACAGAGATGCAAGAGAGTTTATAAGAAAAAGTTAAGATAAACACTAACATGGGGATCTAGATGGATGATGCATATTCATATCAACTGACAGGTAAATCTAAATCCAGTTGCCATCTCACATGTGAAAGGAACACAATCTTACCACATCAGTCACATCATGATCTTCAATGAGAGGAAGCAGTCCATCCAGTTTTCTAGCTTTATTGCCATTGACAAAGGGATGCAATAAATCATCCCTCACAATATAGAATGACAAGCCTTGATTGTCCTCAAACATCTTGTTGCCAAGATAAGGCTGATTATTGTTTAAGAAAGAAACATTACTAAGCACTCCCCCACTGTTTTGCCCTTTTGTTGAAGAAACCATAATTTGATGAATTTTGGTATCAGGACTGAGCAATGTCCACCTTCTGTCAAGCAATTTTGACAAGAACTCTTCACCACTAAGTTTGAATTTGGGTAGTGCCTGACACTGGTCAACTGTTAGTCTGAATCCCAGAAAGCTACTATAATAGCATGGAAGATAGTATCGATAAGCTATAGAAGTGTGCATTATGTTTCCTGTATCTTAAATGAATATACTAGCATTTTATCATCAATTGCCCAGAAATATGACCAGCAAAAGGAAAATGGAAGGAGAGAGCAAGGAAGAAATTTTCATGAAATGAGGTGGCTAATTAATTTTGTGAAAGGCAGCATTGCAATAACGTATTGACTACATCAACCATGATTGATGTGATGCCAAGTTGCCACAACCACAACATGTAAAGGCCAAACATCAGAGCATAGTTGTACGAAGGATGTTCAAGTTCTAGGACCATGCTATTGCAAAACTTGCAGTATATATCACTGTATTCCTCTTCAATTCTCATAAACAGTGCTAACTTTCAACAAACCGACATATCTCTCTCTAACTCTAAGAAACTGATGCCGGTTTTCTCCAATTTTGGGGAACAACACTGACAAAAGACATTATTTACATTCATAAAGCTCGAGGCAGCATATCCTCCTCACTGAGGACATTGATGGAAACCAGTCTTTACTGAACTAATCCTTTTCTAACTAATGGAAGTTAGATGTATCAACATGCCACATATTGTTTAAAATTTTCGTTCTTTTAACTCTTCCTTCTTCCAAAATGAATGTAAACTACATTACTATCATGTCACTTACAAATCCCAACTACCGAATTCAAAAGCACCCATGATGCATCTAATTTACAAAGAAAAACAGAAACTTACTATCAACTTGCTGACACCCAAATGGATACTATTTAAACGCAAAATTTAACCAATTTTCTAATATTGGCAAAACAAATAAATACATAAATAAACAAGGAAATATGAAATCCCAGGCAGATATTAAGAATAGAACCTGAGCTGACCCATTTTTGTTTAAAGCTGTGAAGGTCGTTCTGGTGGATAAACAATGAAGTTTCATTTCAGCAGCTCCCTAAAATAAGCTGAGACCGCGGCGGGAAGCTTCTTTCTTTCGTCTTGCAGGGTATCGGTAACCTGGTTGAAAATAAACGGTATAGAATCTTTTAAATAAACTTCATTTTTTTATTCTTTAATTAAGTACTTTTACTATTATTCTGAAAATAAACAAATTTTTATATTTTTTATTTTTAGCTACAATAAACGACTAAATGCACAATTTGAAGTTAAATTTTTTGAATTTTTTATTAATTCATGATCAAACATTTTAATTGTAACAATCAAAAATAAAAAAAATTTAGTTTTTATAATTAAAAGTTATGATGAGAGGTGACTAAAGTGTAGGATACATGCATAATGTGGACGTTGATTTGAATTTTTGCCTTTGATGTGATTAGTGAATTAGATTTTTAACAAACAAGGCTATTTGATCTAGGTAAAAATAATTTCATCTCTCCTATTTGATTATTCTTGTCGATTAAAATTTCTCATCGTTGACCCAAATTACTAACACTCTACCTCCTCTTTTTCTGATCCACCTTTCCTCTCCGATCATTTTTACTCTTTATCATACCATAGTCCAATTAGGTATCTATCACCGTTAACATATTAGACGTTCTGTTTGTGGGTTCCCGTTGCCATCATCTTGTTATTGTTTGATAATCTAGAAATAGTTAGGTATGCCTTACATTTTCATTTTCTATCTTTAATATTTGTCACCAATAAGATTATCATTAAACAATTTTTCTACAGTGTAATAAATTTTGTAAAGGGCATATAGTTCTCTGTGATAACTAATAATGGCGTATAGTAAACTATTGTTACACACGATATTGAGAAAATGATATTGTCACACGTTATGTTCAAAAAAATCATCTAATCATAATATTTTTTATATTTTAAACAGAATAACTTATTAATTACGCATCATAAAGTTTCATTACGATGATACTTTAGTTAGGGGAGGAAAGAACCTCAAGTAAATATTCAATATAAGGTTTTACAACTCAATTTTTCAATATAATATGTAGCAATTAAATCTTCAATATGACTTGTAATAATTATATTTTTTAACATTACGTATAACAATTACATTTTTTAACATAACGTATAACAACTAAATCATTAATATAAAGTATAACAACTAAATTTTTCAAAATAACATGTAACAATTAAATTTTTAACATAACATATAATAATTAAATTTTAAACATGACATGTAACAACTAAATTTTCAACATGGCTTATAACAAGTACATATTTTAACTTAGTGTGTAATAACTAAATTTTCAACATGATGTATAATAATTAAATTTTTAACATGACATGTAACAATTATTTTCAACATGACATGTGAATATTAAATTTTAGAATATGAAATATAACACTACATTTTTCAATCTGGAGTTAACAATATTTTTTCCACAAAAATAACAATAACATTTTTACAATTGAAATATTTGACTCTTAATTAAAAAATATGTTCAAACATTTAGTCCCAATTTAAGCATATAACCTATAAACAACTTGTATGATTAATGATTGATTTAATTAAAATATTATTTATTGTTTTATATCATATTGTCTTGACATGATTTTTTTTCACATATCATAACCATAATTAACGATAACTAATATACTGGTATGTAAATAATATAATATTACATATTAATGAGACATAATAACATACTTATGTGATATTTTTAATTTTTTACATCAATGTTAGATGAGTATAAAATGACAAATATTATTTTTACTAATACAATTAAACAATCATTATTTATAAAAATTTATTTAAATTAAAAATAAAAATATAAAAATTTAATTCATTCATCAAAATAATTAAACTGTAAAATTTTAATAAAAAATTTATTAAGATGCCACGTGTTCAACTGTTATCTTATCTATAAAGATTTAGGGTTTACCTTCAAGCCAAAACCCTAGGAAAAAAATAAAGGGGAAAATCAACTTCTTACAATGGTATTGCTCGCCGGTGTCTCGCCGGAGCCTCTGTCCGCGTCGGGTCGGAGTTCCGAGAAGCTGAGCCTACCGTCTCTCCAATCTAAAATGAAAACCGACCCAGAGGGGTACGAAACGGAGCTCCATCTCATCCACAGTCAATTCAATTCCGCTCTCGAGCTCTTCCAGCAGCAAGCGGCTCTCAACTTCTCCTCCATTACTGGCGTCGGTGCGGACCCAACCGTCGCCAAGGACCTCAGTGATCGTGCCATGTTCTTGGCCCATGTCACGCCGTTTTATCCCAAGCAGCTCGCAGGCTTCCCTTCCGATCTCGCCGCGTTTCTCAAATCATCCGCGAGGACTCTTCCCTCGGGGCTTAGGTTCCACGTCACCCAAGCGCTCATTCTTCTCGTTAATCGGAAGGTGACGAGGAAAATTAGTTAGTTTTTGTTGCCACAATTATGAAAAGTTGAAACCTTTTTTGGTCCCTATATCTGGATGCTTTCAATTTGACTTGAAATGTTGACTTTTTTTGGCAGATTATTGATATAAAGGACACTCTATCACTGTTCATGGAGTTACAGACACTAGGAGATAGGAATTTGAGGAAATTAGCATTTTCTCATGTTGTTCATAGTATCAGAAGAATGAATAAAAATCATAAGAACGAGGCTAAGAATCGCCCCCTCCAGAATATCTTGTTTGCATTATTGCAGGTTCTTTAACAAAGCCATTTGAATTGGGTATTTCCTGTTTTAAAAATGTTAGTTTTTCATTTTCTTTTTTATAAAGTATTTTCAATGTGTTTTATAGCAAGAAGATGAGGCAAGAGCGAAAAGGTCTCTTATTACTTTATGTGAACTTCATCGAAGAAAGGTTTGGTTTGATGATAGAACGGCAAATGCTATTTGTATGGCATGTTTTCATTCATCATCCAGGTATGTGTGATCTTTTGTATGGTTGATATCTGTTGTTTATGCTGGTGAGTTCAAGTGAAACATTTTTGTGCTTGAATTTCTCAGAATAATGATTGCTGCACTTTCGTTTCTCCTTGATTATGAGAAGATTGAAAATGATGATGATGATGATAGTGATGCTTCAAGTAGTGAAGATGAAATGACACAAAAACCTCAAGTTGTCATCAGCAAAGAAGCTGTCTACAAGGTTATTTGCATCCTGTGATTAATTTTCTGTTTTCTTCTTTGTACCATTCTAGTAAAGTTATTATAATTAGTGCTGGCTAAGTGAAGTTTCCTTGATTCTACCACGGATTTTATGCTTAAAATACTCGTAACTTTTGTTGAGATATGATGATATATTTAAATTTTAGGTGAATGAAAAAAAATATCTCTACGGCTGATGAATTGAACTTCAATGCCTGATAGTTTGTGTCAGTTGTTTTACGAAAAGTAGTTGCTTTCAGTTTTACCTTTGATTCTAAGATGTATGATTGGTGTTATAATGTTATGTTGTATTAAATTTTTAGGCGCACCATAAGGGCACAGCTGCTAGCAAGAAGAAAAAGAAAGCAAAATTACAACGTGCTATTCGTAGCATGAAAAGGCAGCAACGCCTGTCATCAGAAACTAGCACTTCTAGTTATTATTCACCCCTAAACCATCTAAAAGATGCACAGGTTTTGCCCTCTTATCACATTTTATTTAGTCAGTTTGGCTGTGATTTCAATGCTGTAGAAAGTTCAAAATTCTCTTTTGCGCACAGGGATTTGTTGAAAAGCTATTTTCTCGCCTTCAAACCTGCAACGAACGATTTGAGGTGAATGCCTTTCCTGATATCTCTAATTTGGCAGATTTTACTCTTTAACTCCTGTGACTTATGATACTTTCTGTAGCAGTTATACTGTTTTCATTTCTGTTAATTTACCTGTTAGTTTTTATATTTCTTTGGCAAAATGGAGCTTCTGTATATTGCATTTTAACTCTGTTCTCTAACATTTGATGTCTAACTGATGGCAATAGTAGTTTTAGGTTAAGTTCTGTATAGTTTGCTTTCACATTAATTAATTCTTATATTTAAATTGCCTCATTCATTTCAAGTCTCCTCTGTTGTTTACTTCAGGTTAAAATGATGATGTTGAAAGTGATTGCTAGAACAGTTGGACTTCACCATTTGATATTACTAAATTTCTATCCGTTCCTTCAGAGATATGTTCAGGTATGCTATCTTATTGAAGTGTTCTTATTTAAAATTAAGTGTAATTGCCTGGTTAATAGGAGGCAACTATATTCGTCTCTGCAGCCTCACCAAAAAGATATCACTAATTTACTTGCAGCAGCGGTTCAGGCATGTCATGACATGGTATGGTTTTCCATTGATTGTTTGAATCTTTTGTCCTGAACATTTTTATTTTCACTTTTTTTCTTCTCTTCTTTCTTTAGCTTTCTCTGATTTCCTGCCATCTATTCAATCTTGTCTAAGCAGGTTCCTCCTGATGCAGTTGAGCCATTATTCAAACAAATAGTAAATCAATTTGTACATGATCGTTCACGTCCAGAGGTATTGCACATGACTTAAAAGCTGTTTTATATATCCTTTTTTTTTTTTTGGTTACTGATTGATTAAATTTTTTTCTTATTGTTCTAGGCCATTGCTGTTGGACTGAACGTGATAAGGGAAATATGTTTACGCATGCCATTGGTAACTATCTGTCATTTTCTTTCGGAATCCACTGAATTTATTTTATTTCATTAGTGGATTCACTTATATGTACTGTATTACTCAGAATTTGTTAAAACAATCATTTGTTTCTTGTTACTAGTTGATGACTGAAGATTTGCTGCAAGATCTCGCATTGTATAAAAAATCACATGAGAAAGCAGTTTCAGCGGCAGCTCGCTCACTAATTACTTTGTTTAGAGAGGTATACCATTGTCTTTCCATACTTTTCTACATGCCTGCTTCTCTAATTGTCTGTTGTCTTTGTTCTTCATAAACATTGACTGCATATTTCTCCATTTTTATGTTGTCAGGTTTGCCCTTCACTACTGGTTAAGAAAGATCGCGGACGCCCAGTGGACCCCAAGGCAAGACCAAGGGCATATGGAGAAGTCAATGTCCTTAGCAATGTTCCTGACATT